CTCGACCGCGAGCGCCAGAAGCTGGAGGCCCAGGAGAAGAAGATCATCGTGGACATCAAGAAGATGGCCAAGCAGGGTCAGATGGTGAGGGGACATCACTGGGGGACAAGGAGGGGACATGGAGGGGACTGGGAGAATATGGAGGGGACAAGAGGGGATGAGGGGACATGGAGAGGACCAGGGGATGAAGAGACCTCCAGGGGTCCATGGTGGAGACCAGGAGACCATGGTGGAGACCAGGAGATGGAGAGACCTCCAGGGGTCCATGGTGGGGACAGGAGAAAGCAGAGGGGACATGGAGGTGACCAAGGGACTGTGGTGGGGACCAGTGGACACAGAAGGATCCAGAACTCTTGGTGAGGACCATGGTGGGGACATGAAAGTGACTGGGACACCTGGGGGAGACCAGAGGAGCGAGGTGGGACCTGGGGGCCGACCTCCAGGAGACCATGGTGGGGACCAGGGGTCCATGGTGGGGACAGGAGAATGCAGAGGGGTCATGGGGACATGGAGGTGACCAGGAGATGGAAGAGACCTCCAGGAGACCATGGTGGAGACCAGGGGTCCATGGTGGGGACAGGAGAAAGCAGAGGGGACATGGAGGTGACCAAGGGACTGTGGTGGGGACCAGTGGACACAGAAGGATCCAGAACTCTTGGTGAGGACCATGGTGGGGACATGAAAGTGACTGGGACACCTGGGGGAGACCAGAGGAGCGTGGTGGGACCTGGGGGACCATGGAGGGGACTTGAATATTGGGAGGAGACCAGGGGACCATGGTGGGACTGGGAGATGCAGGAGGGACACGGGTGTTTGGAGAGGACCAGGGGACATGGTGAGGAGTTGGGGGGTGGACCATGGAAGTCCCCAGGTAACCACCACAGTGGATCCAAGGGGACCAGGAGGCTGTTGAGATGGTGGTGGGTACTGTGGTGGGCCCTGAGGGACACAGAGGGGTCCCTGGAGATGCCTTTGGCCTCTTGGAGGACCTCATGGCCACTTGATGTTCCCCTCTGTGACCTTCAGGACGCGGTGAAGATCATGGCGAAGGACCTGGTGAGGACACGGCGCTACGTGAAGAAGTTCATCACCATGAGGGCCAACGTCCAGGCCGTGTCCCTCAAGATCCAGACCCTCAAGTCCAACAACTCCATGGCCCAGGCCATGAAGGGTGTCACCAAGGCCATGGCCACCATGAACCGACAGGTGGGTACCCGTGGAGATGTCCCCAAGGCTGTGACCACCATGAGCTGCCCTGGGGTGACCACAGGAATGTCCTTCAAGAATGTGGCCACCACAACTTGACCTGCAGTGAGGACATCCCAAAAACTGTGGCCACCACAAGCTGCCCCAAGGCTGTGGCCATCTTAGGTTGGCCTTGAAGATGAGACTGTGGGTCCCACCAGTGGCTTCAGGCGACATCCCTGTGGTCATGGCTGCTTGGGGTGGCCATGAAGATGTCCATGAGACTGTGGCCACCATGAGCTGCCTCATGAGGGGATGTCCCCAAGGCCATGGTCACCATGGCCACCACTCCAGGTGGTTGTGGGGATGTCCCCAAGGCCATG